TGGTCTGCCGCCGTGCACCGACAAAATTGTCCCGTGCATGACTCGCCATCAAGCAACCTGGCGCTGTTCGATTTGCAGATCTGCATAGAAACTGTCGCTGATAGCGCCGGTCAATGATCGAAACCCCCGTCGGACATAGCGCGGTGAATACTGCACGCGACTTCTACCACCTTTCCCAGTTTGCCGCCATCCCTCTCCGAGCGTCCGCAAACGGCTCACCAGGTGCGCCAGGTGGGCGGTGTCATCAGTCGGGCCCGGCGGCGCACCCCCGGTCAGTGGGCGTCCGGCCGGCCGGTGCGACCCGTTCCAGCGGGCGGGGTCGGCCCCGTCTGACCTACATCGGCGCAGCGGCGTGACGCGTCCCAGGATGGTCGGGTGCTGACATTTGGCGGTCAGCGGCGGCCGCGCCGCCTCTGCCGCCACGTGGGAGAGGAAGGCTGCTGCTGCTGTGCGTTCAAGGAACTGCCCGACCTTTGGGGCGGGCCGCGTCGGTTTGAAGAACATCTGTTGTCCCCAGGAAATACGCGGAGGCGGCAGCTGCCAGCTCCAAATGTTTCCCGCTTATCAGCCTTCACATTAAATGTGCATTTTGTCTGAGGCGTGTTTCGCGGTCTGTCCGGTGTTCCCATCGCTCCATCCCCATGGCGCATCATGTCCCATTACCAATCTCCCCCGTGTTACTCCGCGGTATCCTCGAGCCCGGCGAGTAGGCTCCTCGGCGCTCGGCGTTTTTAGTGCGCCGCCAGCCGCGGCCGCGGCGTCTGGCAAGGTCAGCGCGCGGGCCCAGGGTCGGCCTGCCGTATAAGGCGCCGGCCGGAGGCGGCGGCCCGATCGGCCTAGGCGGCGGACGGTTCGGCGTGGTCCGCCGACCGTGGTGCGAACCCGTCCGCTGGCGGCCGGAGCCGGGCGGCGGTGCCGAGTGAGGTGGCGGACGGATCGCCGTGGTCCGCCGACCGAGGTGCGAACCCGTCCGTTGGCGGCCGGAGCCGGCCGGCGGGGCCGAGTGCGTCACCCGCCGGGCCGCCGTGGCCGGGCGGCGGGCTGACGCCGTCTGACCGGTCCGTTTGAACATCGGGGTCGGCCGTGCGCCGCGCTGCCGGGATGAGTTTGTCCGCCGGCTGTGACGCATCGCGGCTCGGGAGCGTGACCTCCGGGACCTCGGGAGACGGAGGAGGGGCGCGGGCCGCGCGTGGCACTGTCGCTTCGGATGAGTCGCCAGATGGTCCGCACACACGGAGGAGGGCGCGCTGCCGACTGCTCAGGGTCTGCCGTGACGGGTGCCAAGGGCCAAGTCGCTTCTCCATCGCTGGAAATGCTCGACCCAGACTGGGCACAATCGCGTGGTAGCATGGACGTGCGTGACGAACTACGGGAATCCCGGCTCAGCCGCTCTCCTGATTGTTTTTACTTAAGAACCAGTGATGCATGTGTATGGCTTCTTGCAGTTTATAGGTAAAGGGGTTGGACCTAAGCAAAACGTGCTACGATTTGATTTTACCAGGAATGAGCTGAAAGTTCTTCTTGTCCAAAAACATTTTTTAGCACAATTTGTTATCTCATCCTCCATCGTTACGTTATTGACTAAAACGTTGTCATGACGCAAGTAATGCCACGGGATATACACTTTCTGAAAATATATCATACGGATCAGGAGACCAAGTGCTCTACGATGTTCCACACATGTATAATTAAACACGGTGATAGCGGGCTCAGTCTTTGTAAAGTTAGTTTGTTGTGATTAAAGCACAGTCATTCGAGTCAGTTGATACCGCCTTTGTTCGTAGTAGTAATATTATAAATCTCCTTCATACAATAGGATTTTCATAGCACTATCAGATAGCCTTGACCTGAGCGGTCATTTACTTGGCCTATGACCGTGGCCATTGCCGATGACATATGACCCTTAGATTAAAGGCGATCTCTTTTTCTATGCAAAGGCATTCGCGTTTGCTTGAGGGATTAGTTCTGCCGAGGCTTTGCTTTCGTTTTACATACATACCGTGGAGACAAATCCAATGGATTCTGCTTGGCACCAATTTTCCCTAAGTGGATGGTAGCTCCGACAGAAGCTTTTATCTTTTTAGTCCAGCTTTTTGCTCGCATCATAGAAGTAAACAAATCGGATTTTGGGGCCTGTCCAAGCAACACCGAAAGAATACATAAGCGCCATACCATGGTGAATACGGGGAACGGAGTTTCAACGAACGGGGGGTCAACGCGCCATAGTGATGTCTGTGGATGGTGGTATAGACCCGTGGGAGCGTGGCGGGCGAAGAGCATCGCTAGCTCCCCAGCCGTCCGAGTCACGTACAAGTGGCGGGAGTGCTACCGACAGACGGAGCGCTGCCGCCGCCGGCGGCCGTCTCGCACTGTCAGCTCGAGCCGTCGGAGCCGGCGCCAGCCATGCGGGGCGATCGATGCTGTCGTGGCCACTCGGCGGCCAGGTGCGCCGCACGGGTCACCGCCTGATCCCGCCGTCTGACCGGCGGCGCTGACCGGGCCGGCGGCGACACCTCGCCCGCCACCGGCTCGGCCGGCCGTCTCTGCGCCGCCCGTCCCCCGGAGCTGGGTGAACGCCCTGTGCGCGCCGAACGCACCTGTTGAGCGTTTGTTGTCGTCCGCGCGCGCCATCTCTGGAGCGCCGCGCGAACTGTGCTGCGTGACGTCACGGCCGGATCGATGCGGATACGTCTCGGCCAGGCGGCCACGCGCTGCCGCATGGCTACAGGTGGTCGAAGAGGCGGACGTAGCCGCGCGGTCACGGCGTGGCCGGCCCGTGAATCATGCCCGCCCGGCCACCTCGCCGGCTCCGGGATTGCGGCGGCTGAGAGTCGTCTGGTGTTAGATGCGTGAGAGGGATAGACGCTGGTCGTCGACTGTCGTCAGATGTGTGAGATGGTTGAGAGAGTCGGCTGGCGTGATGCGTTAGATGGCGGTGCCTTCGGTGCGGGAAAGGCCTCCTGTCTCTCGCTCACGTGGCGACTGGCGATTAATGGGCACTGGCTAATGCATGACTGATTGCGATGATGGTCCGTCGCATGGCAACCATCGTCGCTGAGCTCCGGAAGACAAGCTGCACGCTCCGATGGACGAATCACTCAGGCGGGCGCCGGAGAGAGATCTGTGCTCGACGAAGTGCTGGAGATACGAACATGTCCTCTCTTTCCTTTGTTCCATGCGGTGCCACGGATGTAAGGCTGGTTTTCATAACTGTACTGGGTGCTGCGCTCCAGTCGACAGCCAGTTCCGCTCATCACCGTCGTTCACTCGGGCTACCCGGGCCTCCGGGGCCCAGGGGCTCCCCGGGGCTGTTCCGGCTTCGCATGCGGCAAAGACGGCTCGCTCTTCCTGCAAACGTGAATGATGCAGTCTGACAAATTTGGCATGTGAGTGCAACAAACGTAGTGCAACTTTCATAACACTGTCATTGTAACATTAACAGAATTAGTTCAGGTGCCTTTGTCGCGTCAACTTTCTGCCCTTTTCACCGGTGTCTCCTCGTATGAGTCACCGCCGAGCATCGGTGAACACAGACATCTCATCACCCCACTGTCGTTGCATCATCAATGACGGCCGTGGGCGGTCACAGAGGCAACGCGGCGCGGAAACCGCATAGCATTATACGCGCACGAGCACCTGGGCTACCCCGGTGGACGTCCATATGAGCCATCCACCTCCCGCCATCCCGGCACGGCACGGTCGGACGTGGGCCCAGTGCCCCGCGCGACACCTCGCCAGGCCCAGGGCGACTCGGTGCCGCCGACCATCGGGAGCGAGCCGGACGCGGCAGGCAGCTACCGGACGATCGGCGGGGAACGTCGCGAGGGGGAAGGGGGCGTCATCGGTGGGGTGCTGCGCGGCGCAGCGCGCTGCGACGGCTTCCTGCTGGGGGAGTGATGGACGCTGGAGTCGACCAGAGAGGGAGAGAGAGAGAGAGAGAGAGAGAGAGAGAGAGAGAGAGAGAGAGAGAGAGAGAGAGAGAGAGAGAGAGAGGAGAGAGAGAGAGAGAGAGAGAGGAGAGAGAGAGAGAGAGAGAGAGAGAGAGAGAGAGAGATCGTTCAACGAGGAATAAGGTCATTAGAACTGCTCTTATGTGCATGTAATGTACTTAACTGCACTGAACAGCTCTCCATGCTCCGCTATCTGATGTTAGTTTATAACACTCGTTGCCATTCCTTCGTGTCTATCGTGTACGCGTTGGCTGTTCAAAGCCCTCTCCATCCCGGCATGTGGTCTGCTTTCCCCGTCACCTTTCTGATGTACACCAACATTTGAGCGTCGGGTTTAGGCTGGAACTATTAGAGAACAGCAAGCTCACCTCAGCGACGGGCTCGGTTGGAAAAACCAGAGAACAACGAGCTCTTGTTATCGGGGACGAAATCAGGCTGGAATGATTAGGGAATAACTAGCTCTGGTCTCGGCGCCTTCCACTCCTGATAACCGTGTGGAGATAAATATCAGGAATTTCTCACGAACGCCGTGAGCTTAGTTTTGAACCTCGCGTTTTGACGGATTGCGAGAGCTTTTTAGATCAATGAAATCAGTAGCAGCAGGTGAACAGCGTCGAATCTACATGGGCCGCCAGATTCGAAAAATAAAAGCTCAAGTGAAACAAGTGAGCCCAAGCCCTGCACCGCCTCCTTAATGATGTCGTCATGTTGTTTGTTCATGTTTGTGCTAATATCTGAGTTATTCATTATTTTGTCGCTGAAGAGATATTTGCGGCTGTGGCGCGCTTAGTGCGCAGGAAGGATGTCCTCTCGCACACTAGTTCTGAATAAAATCCCACTTTTTGTATGCATTCCCTTTTTGCTCATCCATTCTTTCTCCAACTTGCCTGCGATATTTGCACGCATTTTATTCATTCAGTGCGATTCCCCGAATGACAGCCTGGTGATTCGGTGGGGCTAGCAGACTGTAAAATCGAGATGAATAGTGCTCCTTTGTGCAATCGCTAATAGCGCACTGTACGGGTCTCACTCGCACCATTTCCTTTACAGATATCAAGATGAGCAGGAGCAGCCTGTCCAATTCATGTTTGCTGAGGTGAGTGGCAGCACCGCTTGTAGTTCAATACCAGCACTTGACTGAACGACCTTTGCCCGGAGGGCAATGTCTATGTGCGTCACGAGCATGCATGATGTATGATATTCGCGTGAAATACAGCGCGCGGTAGACGGGTTTGAAATTCATCTGCCTTCTGCCGTTTCAAGGTTAACGGACATGCGTGGGGCCGATTGCGTTTGATGCATGAGAAGCTGCTGCTGCTGATGGATGACACCCCGCGTTCCTTGAAGTGCTTCTTCAAGCTTCAAAGCTTCCAAGCTTTGTTGGATCCGTCCTGGCCTCCAGGCCGGGCAATAAAGCCTCTGAGGATGAGCGTCTCTCTACGGGGAACTTCTCTGTCCGTCAATTCAGCTGACTGTCGTTGATAAGGGACCGTGCAGTCATGCTTAGTCGCAGAGATAATTGCTCTGGTTTGGAGTTAAGTCTCAAAGTCCGACGTTGGTGCCAGTCTGCGATCGACCAGTCAGAATGTGAATATCCAGAGCAGGGTGGTGGGTACCAAGAAAGCGTGATTTGCCTAGCAGTGAGCACATTAGTATCGAATGTTCGAATGTTTGACCAGAGGGCTAGAGGAGTGAAGAGTATCTTACTTTCCCTGAACTATTAATGTATAGGCTACATAAGTGAGTAAGTGGATTTGTTGGAAACATTTTGCCAATAGATGAGACAGTACTGTTAGCCATATTGTTCATAGAAAAACCAGGAGCAAGGAGAGATAGATGCATTGATATTTCGGCTATACTCCTTTAGCGAAACGAATGTTGGAAGCTAATAAAACAAAATTGCCTGCCGGTCCCACTCGATTTTTCCGTTTTTTTTTAACAGTAAGCGACAATTTTTCCAAGTCACTGACATGTAAAAACCTTTCCAAGTCAGTAAAATTTTTACTTACTGAATTTTAGAGGTCAGTGACTAGTGAAAAGCAAGGCTGGCAGTTAAAAAACACAACCTCAAAATCGAGAAGGATCGGAAGGCAATTTTGAATTCACCATTGAATTTCGTTGCGATAAAGGCATGTAGCCGAAAGGTCAAGACATCTATCCCCCTCTTCTCTTGGGCATTCTTCGAGAGGTAAGGATAACAGCATTGGCTTATATATCTTTATGTATACACATTGCAGATGGTCGTAAACGCATGCTGCTGCAGTCATAGAGCTTTGGATCTGTAAAGAAAACATGCCGAAGTGATATCAATGTAATCATCTGAGCGTCTAACAACAAAAACATCTAGTTCTTCTGCAACATGAAGTTTATCTGAAATAACCTTGCGTATCACCAAGGGAGGACATTTTAGATAAGGTGATGGTATTTTAACGTGTTTACATGCCATAAACACTGGTGTAGTGCCCAAAATTCCGATTTCCAGTGCGAAAAACCATCTTGTTGCTGCTGCAGATTACATCACGCATTCGAGAAACAAGAGCAGGCTCAGCACGCATTATTTGAAAGTACACTTTTTACATTTGCAAGCGTCGGGTACGGTAAAAAGAGAAATCGAAGTCAAAGTTTGCATTCAACTATTGAATTTGAACTGAGCCATGCCATGACGCATCCAGCACATAACGCTGCAGATCACGGCTGCCAGGAACGCAAAAGGCATGGAGTCATCTGTCAATGCAGAACCCCAGTTTGGCGTGGGCGAGCGAGATGGCAAAAGACGCAACAGACACAATCATCATGGTGCGGATGGTGCCACAACAGACACAATCATCATGGTGCGGATGGTGCCACAACCGAAGCGGAAGCAGGCAGATGCTTTTGCGAGCCCAAACAAAGCGGTCTGACCAATGCCTTGTAATGTCCGTCTTTCATGTGAAGTTGGCAGCTTTAGGCTCAGTGACGCGATGTTCGTGGGCCGATGTACGAATGATTTTGCTGACAAATTGGCGGAGTATTGGTTTGACCAGGCATGGCAATTTTAATCAACGAAATCGATGAATTCGTAATGGCTGATGTCTTCGGCGACTGGAACCAGAGTAGCGCGAACAATGCGGAAGTTTTGGACGGATATGAACCACGTGATCTGGACCAGACACGTGGGTAGATGGCTGGACCACTCTCTCTCTCTGTTTGGGCTGTGTGCCTTACTTTTTGATGAGCGTGTCAGTTATGGGTCGATGGTTATGAGATCGCTGTTTGATTTTTAGACTGTGCGTTTGCTTGTACTGCCCGGTTTTTATACCTTTCTCCGTCTTTGTTGCAGACGTTTCACGACAATCCTTTTAGACTCCTCTTCACCATTTTTGCTCTTGCTTGACCGGCTGCACATTTTATTATTTTTGCCTTGCGGTCACCTGTTCCTTACATCAAAATATGTTGGTCATATGCGGGTAGTATGACAGGTGATAAAGTTTTGGGACCTGGGCTTCAGTCCGTGTTGGGCGGCTTTTTTCGTGGAAGGCACATTAACATTTCCCGTGCCATTGGAAAAGGAAAGACTATCTTTTAACCACATCGCTAAATTGCAGAAAAAAACGTTGGTCGTGTTCCTGCAAATCGCATGATGCCGCGACAAAAAAGTCGCAAAGATGCCAGTTTCTGGGGAGTGTGCGGTCGGGACGGTGCGAGTCGGGCCGCTCAGCATGTTCTCATCGTCCCAGTGGGATTGGTTCGAGCTGCGGCTCCGCCCGTAATCAACGCTAGAAACAGAGCAGCGCCGTACCAACCCCTGGCGTCTGAAACGCTCTATTCTGTCTCTAAGCGCGGTGCATCGGGGCGCCATTCTGTCCGAATGTAGCAGGCCTGTCATTCATGA